TCTTTGTTTTCTCAAGTTTCATAAAAGGGGGGCTATATTTTTGCTTGGGTGGTACTGGTCCTGTTTGGTCACAAGAGGGCAAGCGTAGCATATTATTTAATTTTACAATTTCATTAGTTTCATTTTTATCTGGTCACTATAGGTACGGTATCTCTCTTTGACGTCACAGTACTAGGCTGCAATTTGTTCAAGGTTAGTGTCTCTTTCGTATGAGAGGCTCAAGTAATTTGAAATGAGGCACAGACAGGGGTGTGAATATGCAGCACTATCACAAACTAAAAAATAATAGTGTGAGACTACAATTACAAAATTTGCTGTGTTAGCTTCTGACCTTTTGCCATCTGATCTTTTGCTCTTTTGCCATCTGATCTTTTGCCATCGGCATCTGAAATCAAAGACTTTGATCTTTGACATTAGGGAAGTCACATGTTCTTACAGTTCTGGCACACATCTAGGATTACCTGCCAGGCAGTTTGTGTGCCCTCTGCTCAAATACCAGCCTCTGTGTGCAACCAAGTGAGCAGGTGCTCCTTGAACAAATAAATGATACAGATGGAAAAGTAAAGGTCTCTGCAATCATTCCCTGGTTCTTAAAGGAGGACTCCGGAGGTAGAGAACCCTTTGGACAATGCCATCCTTGACTCAGATCTTTATGAGTGATTTGTCCTTGATGGGAGCAGCTGGTTGAGTCTGAGACTTATCTAGACAAGTACTAAAGTCCATTGTGAACTGGCAAATATATTCCAGGCTGCCACCTAATGTGGGTGTGAATTAGCAGGATGGATCTTGTGGTTTTCTTTTGGTGCCTCTACTGATAAGCTATTTGTGCCTCTACCGATAAGATAGTCATTCCAAATTTGCAATTTACTGGGTGTGTTTGCTTTTTTGGTACACCTTGTATGCCTTCTGCAGTGTAGTTGGTGTTTAGGCTGTCAAAACAGATACCAAGTTTGAAGTCTTAGAATTCAAAAACACAAATTTTAATAAGCTCAGGTCACTAGTAGAAAATGCCCTGAGAGACCAAAGACCACAGGTAAAGGGAGCACGAGAAGAATGGCCATTCCTTAAGGATACAATCCTTAAGGATCAGAGAAAATCCATTCCCTTACAGAGAAAAAGTAGCAGAAAGGTCAGAAAACCCTCTTGGCTAAGCAGGGAAATTGCAGCCCTCCTACAGAAAAAGCAAGAGGTATACAAACAATGGAAGCTTGGGACAACCTCTAAGGAAGACTACCTGACAATAGCCCACAGAAAGCAGATTAGGTAAGCTAAGGCAGAGATGAACTAAAGCTAGCTACAAGAATCAAGGACGACAAGAAGTCCTTCTTTAGCTACATAGGGTGTAAAATGAAAACTAATGGGAGTGTGGGGCCATTGCTCAGTGCCTCAGGATACCTGGTCACTACCACTCAGGAAAAAATGGAACTCCTAAATGACTGCTTTGCTTTGGTCTTTCACAAGACCAAGGGGAACAACATGCCAGGTAGGGCACAGAACGAGCAAGGCAGGATTGATGACGTTCCCACCATTGCCATAGAACTGGTGTACAATCAATTAAAGAAATTAGGTGTATATAAATCAGCAGGACCAGATGAACTCCACCCAAGAGTGCTGCAAGAATTGGCCGAAGTAAATGCAGAGCCCCCGGCAAAGGTCTTTCAAATATCATGGGCTTCTGGAGAAATCCCAGAGGACTGGAAGAGGGCAAATGTTGTGCCCATCATCAAGAAGGGGAAGCGTGAAGACCTGGGAAACTACAGGCCAATTAGCTTAACTTCTATTCCAGGGAAAATCCTAGAAACATTCATCAAAGTGGCAAA